AGCTATAGCTGGCCTTTGTTTCTTCAGGTATCTTTCAAATGGGTTTCACATCTGTAAAACACTCAGAGGTTAACATCATATATTAAATCAGTCATGGACAAGTTCTAGCACAGCATGGAAAGGTTCTATCCATTTGTATTAATTTCTTTCTCCATAGATCTTTATTAGGTACCATAGCATGGGTAAGAAGCATTAATTTGATTAGTTCTTTACTATCTTTAGTTATCCCTTTGGAATCATTCTGCATTTTGGGGATTTTACGTGGAGTCTCTTTGTATTTTCTTATCCTTGATACCTTTGCAGGTCTACTTTAAGTTGCCTGGCCCTTCACTGGGCTAAGGAGGCAGAGGGTCTCTCTTGTCCCTGCTACACCTGTTGGTTCCCTGAGTCAGGCAGACCCTGGGTCTGCCTTCTGGCTCTTACCATATCTGTCATCTCTCCATTTACCATACCTGGCTGCTGGGGGAGGCCCTGGTGGGAAAAACTGCCTCCACCCCTAACATAGCTTTTCTCAGGAGAAAAATGTACCTTATTTAATATTTGGGGGTCTTTAACCACCGCTGGGACAGTTTTTATCCTCTGAATGCCTTTTGTGAACTATTCATCAGGTTTTAAAGCCTTCTAGAAACTCATAGGTACTGAATTTGGTTTTCTATCAATTTTTTCTTTGTGAATTTGGGCTCGACAAATCTTGCCACATTTGTCCTCAAGTAACCCAAACAGATCATTTCTTCTATGTGGTCTTTTTTATATCTCTCTTTTAGGTTGCTCCAGTATTCTACAGACACATTTTACACGCTGGTTTGAGTCACCTAGATCTGCCAAAGCCTCCCTCACTTTACAAAGATTCTGTCTCATTAAAGGACTTTATAAAACCATTAAAGCTCTATACCAGTCTCAAAGTCCCAGTTTAATTAAGCTTTCCTTTATGTCTCTGGTGAATACAGCCCTATCTGGCCCAGCAAACTGGGCATCACATATTGCTTTTCTCATAGCTAGTTTTCTCAGTAACGCCTGTCCCTCCTTTATAGTCCTCCAGCCCTGCAAATCATGGGAGTCTCCATTGGGAGTCTCCATTGCTGATGACCATGTATCTTTAATACCTTGTATAAGCCATTCCATTAGGGACTGCTCCCTTTTGTATTGGCCTAGGTCGAACAGCCTATGTCTCAAGGATGGATGGGTAGTTATATAATTCAGCTGTGAAGCTTCTAAAGGACTTAAACTGACATTATTTGCTCCCACGTCCCATACATTCACTAGCCACGTGGTGAGGGGCTCTTTGATCACTTGTTTGAATGTTCTTCCTAGTTCTTCCCTCCAGTGTAGAGTATTTTTTTCTAGCCACAGTTCTGTTAACTATTTTTCCTTTTTGCACCAAAGGTTGTTGAATCTGCAGGGTAGCTTTAGCTACTATTATTTTTAGGTTGTTTCTTTTCTCATTACTATCTGTCTTTTACCTTGGGACCTTTGACTCCTGGTCCCCTAATCTCACACAAGTTAAAATCCCCCATTTTTCCTCTCTTTTAAGCTCTGAGGCTGAGACTGAATTTGTCAGTAACTCCTTAGCCTTTGCAGCCTGGACCGGGGCTGCCTTTGCCTTTTATTATGCAAAGTGGCCACACCCCCTCTGTGGGTTCCCCTCTTGCATCCAAGGCTTGTATAATTCTTTTCTAGGCTCTCTATGACCTTTAAAGAATCATCACATATAAGCAACTGAGCTATTTTCTCACATTTACAGGATGGCCGTGGCCCAGGGATTTTCCCCTTTGAGTCCATCTGCATCTATGTGGCCCTAGTCATTCTAATTCTGTGAATATCACTAACCCCCTTGTTTTTCCTGAACTTGTGTGGTTTGTTGTTTCCAGCGTCATCCTGTCAGACTGCACCAATTGTTTCACCAAATTTTTCCCTTTTCCCTCCCTGGGGGACCCACATGTGCCCTCTGACAACTCTATGGTCTCCTGGTCCTGATGCAGATTGACCAACAGACATAAGACATTCTATTTGGATTTTGCATAGTTTACATGATATTTTTTTTGGGGGGGTGACTTACAAAAACACAGATTCTTATAGGCTTTTCCTTTTCCATATCTTAAATGAGAGGAATGAACTATTATATACTTAGAATTTTCTCTCTTTTTTTGGTCTTTTTGAGACAGGGTCTCCTGTAGCTCCAGCTGGCCTGGATTCACTATGGAGACCAGGCTGGCCTTGAACTCACAGAAATCTGCCTGCCTCTGCCTCCCGAGTATTCTTAGAATTTTCAATTTTAATCTTTTCCCAGCCTTTTCCCACTTTTGGCATCATCAACTGCCAATAGCACCTCAGCTAGGGGTAGGACTTCATGCCTGCCTCCTCCCTCCATGCTAAGATTTTTGTACGGCTTGAATTTGCACAGATCTTCTGCGTGCTATCACAACTGCTTTGAGTTCATAGGCGTATCTGCCCTGTTGTGTCTGAAACACTGTTGTCACCCACTGCCCCTGGCCCTTAAAATCTTTCCACCTCCTCTCTGGAGATGACCTCTTAGCCCTGGGGGAGGGGTGTGATGTAGATGTCCAGTGAAGGACTGAGCATTTTGGAGTCTCTTATTTTCTGCATGTTGATCAATGTGAATCTCTGTATTAATCACCATCTCCTACAATAAAAAGCTTCTCTGGTAAGAATTGGAAGATGTACTGATTTATGGGTAAAACTATAAGTCATTAGGAGTTGGTTTAATACTATGTCCATTTAGAATAATAGTAGGATCTCCTAGGGTCTATGACTTGTCTAGCCACAGATTGTTGGCCCAAATAATGGTATCAGGTATGGGTTCCATCTTGTGAAGTAGGCCTTAAATCCAATCAGAAAATGTTTGGCTATTCCCATAACATTTGTGCCACTATTATCTTGCCAGACCAGTGATTAATGTATCTTACGAGGTTCAGGATGCAGTGCTGTCAGCAATATCATCTTATCAAGGTCTGGAGAGAAATCAAGACCAGTGGCAATATCCAGTAATGTTTGGGGGTCTGTGGGACCCTACTGGGCAACAGCTCCAAAAGAAGTAACCCTTTCCTGGCCCTGGGCTTTTTATTTGTTAACCTGTGGTAGTCTAGTAGGGGCACTGTCTGTCTGTTTCCACTTTCCTACTCTGCCCTCCCTTTATATTTATATTTAAACTCTTTTTTATATTGTGTATGTATACATTTTAGGAAGCTTCTACAGTAACAGTTTTCCATATGAATTTTTCAAAATCTCTCCCCATACTCCTCCTCTACCTTGCCCTCCCATCTCTATCCCATTAACCCTTCCTATTCCATTTTTCTCTTTACTCTTCCTATTCCATTTTTTCTCTTTACTCCTTTATACCACTGCATTCTATCTCCCTGCCCTTGAAAGCAGGGTGATACTAGTTACTAGTTTCTTGACCTTTATGGATTTTTCCAAATGAAACACACCTATCTAAAGAGTCAAAGCTAGCATGCAAGAGAGAATGTGCTATGTTTGTCTTTCTAGGTCTGGGTTACCTCTCAGGGTGATTGTTTCCAGTTCCATTTATCTACCTGTGAATTTCATTTTTCTTAACTGCTTAATAATATTCCATTGTGTAAATGCACCACAGTTTCATTATCCATTCATCAGCGGATAGACATCTAGGTTGTTTCCATTTCCTGAGTGTTGTGAATAGAGCAGCAATGAAATGTATGAACAGGCATCTCTTTAGTGGGATATAGAGTCCTTTGAGTGTATGCTCAAGAATGGTATGACTGGATCTTAAGGAAGATCTATTTCTAGATTTTTAAAGAAGCTCTGTACTGATTTCTGTAGTGACTGTGCCAGTTTGCACTCCCACCAGCAGTGAATAAGTGTTCCTCTTTCCCCACATCCGCACCAGTGTTTGTTATTTTTTAAACCTTAGCAATTCATATTTTACAGTGGCTTTATCAGGACGTAACCCACTATAAGTCAAGGAGTAACTTCAAGTCACCTATCATGGTCTTCTACCTCTAGATCCTCCAGGCTGTGTTTCTCAACAATACTATTTACCAACAATGCTATTGAACTTCAGCCCATACATCAACTTCAGGTAATTTAAGATAGATAAAACATTTTTTTCTGGCTTTCTATTTATATTCTATTTATTTCCATTGATCAGATAATGCCCCTTTTCCTTTGTATCCAGAATATAATATTTATAAAAATGTGGTCTGCCAGCTGGAGAGATGGATCGGTTACTCACTTTACTGAAGCGCATGCTGTACAAGCACGAGAACCCTGAGTTTGGAGCTTTAGATTCAATATAAAAAGCCAGCTATGGTAGCACACACTGGTAATACCAGTGCAGGGGAACGGAGGGGTATAGACAGGTGAATCTGGGGCTCACTGGCAAGCCAATCTAGGCTGAGCTCCAGGCCTAGTGAGAGACCCTGTCTCAAGGAAAGATGATAGAAAGTGATAGAGGAAGCTAGCCAAAATTGACCTCTGGCATCCTCACGTGCATGCACAAGTGAGTTAACACATGCACATCCCCCATGCATGCACACACATACACAAAGGTATCTGAGATCCTCCAGAATGAAACTCTGGGATTATGTTTTCAAGTTCCCCACCTTCCTGACTCAATCCCAAATTTAAGTCCTCTGCCACCCAGTCTTTTCTGAAGACTCTTCTTACTGCCTCCCAAGCACAGATGGAACTGATCCAGCTGAAAGCGAAGCCTACTGACCCTAGTGCTTTGTCACTTCAAACACCTAGTGTCCTATGCATATTCGAAATGCCACCACCCTCATTCCTGACCTTGAGGCTCTAAGCTCTTTGAAAGAAAGGACTGTGTTTATAAGTACTTATATTTTTATACTTATAAACTTGTATTTATATGCTTTATAAGTATTTATTTATTGGCAGTGGAAGACATCGCTGTAGAGAGCTGCACAAAGAAGCTGTAGGTAGTCTGAGGGCTTCAAGAAGAGGAAAAATGCTGCTCTAACCAACTTCATTCAATGTGGCTTTAGGGCCTGAGTGGGTTAAGCTTGATCCTGAACACTTTAGACAGAGAGAGGAGAAATCAGCCTGACCTTTATGTTTCTTAAGGCTTCTCGTGCCCATGCACAGCTTTCACAAGAACAGAGTCTACACTTATTTTCCTTCCTTCCTCCCTCCCTCATTCCCTCCCCAGGCTGGCCTCAATCTCACAGAAACTGCCCGCCTTTACCTTCTGTGCTGGTGTTAAAGGTGTATTGTTGTTTCTTAGTTTTGAACTAATCTTAGACACAGAAAATTTGTAAAATATAGTAAAGTCCTAGAAACTCTGCACCTAGTGTCTCAGCTACCTATGACCTACCAGTAGATCACAGAGAAGTAGAGAATCAGCATTGGCATAATATTATGAATTAAACTGCAGACTGTAGTTGCTTTCATTGACTTTCCACTGGTGTCCCAGTCTGTTTGAGGATCCTATGTAGGATCCTACACTGAATTTAATTGCCTATCTCCTTCAGCACCTTTGATCTGACAGCATCTCTCTCTGCTCTTTTGTGATCTTACACTTTTGAAGAGCCTGGCTGATTGTTTGTAGAATACTGTATTCTCCTTCGGGTTCTCTATGCTGTTTTCTCATGATGAGGCTTGAAGAGAACCCTGTAGATGAGATGTTATGCCCTTCTAATTGCATCACATCCAGACTTCAGAAAGTCATGTCTTGTGAGCAAGGAGGTTGAACTTACTACTTAGGCAAGTAGGTTGGTACGTTTGCTGTTGTTTTTGTTTGTTTGTTTGTTTGTTTGTTTTATGAGTCAGGGTCTCACTGTACAGCTTTGACTGGTCTGGAGCCCACTGTGTAGGCCAGGCCAGCCTCAAACTCACTGAGATGGCTGCCTGCCTCTGCCTCCCCAGTGCTAGGATTAAAGGTGTGCACCACCACACCCAGCTGAAGAGAGGTTTTTTTGATGTGTTGTTGCTGGATTTCTTTCTGTGAAGTCATCTTTCCCTTACAAGTTAGTGTACTCTGAGGCTATACAAATGTCCTATTTCTCCCATTTTACTTTTTGCTTTATCAGTGAACCTTGCGTTCAGTAAATCTTACTTTGCTATTTACCTAATAGTGAGCACAACAGCATTGGGGCAGACCTAGATGTAGATTGACGCTTTCTGATACTTTGGTATATTTCCACCACCAATTCCAGCTGAAGTGGACAGAGCACAGCATATTTAGCTTGAGTGCTTCGAGTTCAGCAGATTTTATTTATTATTTTTATTTTATGTGTGTGAGTGTTATGCTTGCACATAGGTAAGTGCACCCATGTTGTGTAATTCCTGAGGAGGACAGAAGAGGCTGTCAGATCCCCTGGAACTAAAGTTGCGGATAGTTGTTAGCTGCCATGTGGGATTTGAACCTGGGTCTTCTGCCAGTGTTCTTAACCACTGAGCCATCTCTCCAGCCCCCAAGTTCAGCGGTTTTTATACACCATAGTTAGTTTTCCCAGAGTGGTTAGTCAGCAGAAAAGCACCAAATTGGTGCTAATGCATTTCATTGTTTTCCAAGCATGTTATCTCTAGTTTTACAGAGACTCTAATTCAAATTTGTAAAGAGATTACTTAGACTAGGAATTGACGGCTTTTTTTTCTGTAAATCTCCGGAGTGTTAACATTCTGCATCATGCAGTGTCAGAAATACTCAATTCTGATGTCGTGGCTAGAGGTAATCTGCAAGTATATGGTATGACTCTGCCCCAGTAAAACTTTATTTGTATGAACAGCAGGCTAGTGGTTACAGTTTGCTGACTGTTGTTTTATTTTATTTTAAGTATTTCATTTATTTTTATTTTCTGGGTATGAGTGTATTGCCTGCAATGTATGTAAGTGCACCTGTGTCGTGCAATGCCTGAGGTGGTCAGAAGAGGGTGTCGGATCCCTTGGGACTGGAGTTATAGATGGTTATTAGCCACTATGTGGGTGCTGGAATTTGAACCAGGTCTTCTTTAAGAGCAGCCAGTGCTCTTAACTACTGAGCCATCTCTCTAGCCCCATGTTGTTTTAGATTATAAAAATACACAAATTCAAAGTGTACATTAGCATTTGTCCTAATCATTCCTGCTTTTCCACAGGCAGAAGACTGATCTCTGAAAATATGTATTTGGGAGATAGCCACGTTCTGTTGAATATCTTGTGCTGGTGCTGCCATCGAAAAGTCTGGTTACAGTCTGGGGAGGCCTGCTACCAATGCAGGACTGAACCACCTCAGCCCTGAGATGAATGTCCCGATAGAGCGGGCACACCATGAATAGATACACACAGATCAAGCAGCTTGGAGATGGAACCTATGGTTCCGTCCTGCTGGGAAGAAGCATCGAGTCTGGGGAACTGATTGCCATTAAAAAGTAAGTTTATACTTCATGCACATGAACTGCCTGTGAGCTCTACCTGTCAAGATGATTTCAACTCTGTCCTGTCCATTGCCTGAATCATTCCTAAGGGAAATAGACAGGAGGCATAGAGACAACGTTAGGCAATGATTCTAAAGTTATGAAGAAGCTTCTGATAAGGTAGTGGTGAGTAGGTTAATAAACATCATTTTCTAGGATACGAATCATGTGATTGTCTGGTGACTGCTGTCTTGTGTCCTCTTGTACCTAGTTCTGCCAGCCAGAGCTCAGACCTTTTGCATTGGTGACCTGTTGCTATCTAACAATTTACTCCAGACTTAGTGGATTAAAACATCATGTTTGTTTTACATCTCAGTTTCTGTGGGGTAGCACAGCTGGTTCAGGGTCTCTTCTGAGGCTGCAGTCAAGGTAATAGTCAAAACTGTGGTCTTACTGACAGCTGGACTGGGAAAGGATCCACTTCCAAGCTCACTCACATGATTGTAGGCAGCATGCAGAACCCCATGCATTGTTGAGCTGAGAGTCCCAGTCCTCTGCTGGCTGTTGGCCAGAGGCTAGCTCTCTGGTCCTTGCCTTGTGGGCCTCTCCAAAGAGCAGCTCAGAACATGGTAACTTAGTTCATTGAGATGTGGGTGTTAAGAGAAGCTGAAGAGATGGATGAGAAGTTAGGAGTACTTCTTGCAGAAGACCTGGGTTCAGTTCCTAGCACCCACATAGTGGCTTACAACCAACTGCCTCTAACTCCAGGTCTGACACCTTCCTCCGGCCTCTGTGAGCATCAGCACACACAGTCTACACATACTCACTCAAGCATGTACACACACACACACGCACACAGAGTGAATAAATAAATCTTTTTTTTAAAATAAGGCAGTAAGAATCTTCTTAGATGGAAATCATATCTTTTGCATTATAAGCCAATCACAGAAGTGATCTACTCTCAGGTAGCTGTGCACTTACTGTTTAGAAGCAAGTTATTGAAAGACATAGGACTGTCCAAAGTGATGAAGACCAAAAGACAGGGGTCTTTGGGGCCCATGTTGGAGCCTGCCTGCTGGACCCTCTGCCCATCTGCTTTATTGTCTCTGTCTGGTTGTCCTATAGACACATAAAAACCGTCCCCCAAACTGAGCCAGGATTCAGTTTGCTGTTCCATTTTTACTCCATGCTGGCTTCTCCTTCAATTTCTTTCTTTTTGTTTTGTTTCTGTTTTGATATGTAGTCCAGGCTGACTCCTCTGCCTCAGCCTCCCATGTGTTGGGATTTCAGGCATGCCATGCAGCACCACACCTGGCTCAGTTTTCCTTAATCTTGATAAATGATACTACACTCACTACTTCAAAACCTGAAAGTTCTCTTGACTTTCTTCCCCCAATGCCTCACTTTTTTGGTCTGGTGCTGTCAGTTCTACTGAAGCTACTTCTCTCCATTCCCACTAAAACCTCCCATCCAGCCTATTTCCATTTAGCATCTGCCCACTGGGTCCTCTGTAGGGCTGCTGGCTTCTAGTCATTTTCCTGTTTACACCAGATTAGAAAGAGTATTTTAAGCACGAGAATTTAGTTGACTAAAAACACCAGTGTCAGACATTCTTTGTGTCATTCTGCCCCATCTGACTTGTCTCATCAGTCCCCACAACAGGACTGAGGCGTAGTCATCTGTCTTGGTATCAGCTCAGTCATGTACCTTTACTGGATTTCCCACTTTTTCCTACTAGTTTTGCTACTGTTTTTCCTGGCTTCCTGGAATCACCTTCTAAATCAACCACCTGCACCCATGTGTGGGAGAGTCCAAAGTAAGATAGCTTTCAGAGTTATCCTGTTAGGATCAGGCATCAAATCCAACTGGGACCTACAATTGCTGCATCTTTGGCCCCTGCCTGTGTTCTCCAGCTTTGTTTCCTACCACTGCCCTCTTGCCTCTTTGCTCCAACCTCTTGTCTTTCTGCTTCTTGAACTTACCACATACCTTTCTGCCTGGTTCCTCTGTGCGTTAGTCTCTACTTCATGCCTCCTCCTGGTTACAGTCTGTTCATTCTTCAGATCCGGGTTGAAATATCCCTTCAATAAAGGAGCATTCTCTGATTCCCCAAACTATATTAGGTGCCTTGGAGGCTGGGTCTCATGTTGCTTGATATCTTTCCTTCATGAAATTTAGTGCAGGAAATCACTGACCACCTTCCTGCTACAGTGTCAGTTCCATCAGGGATGTTTTTCTTGCCATGTATCTCCAGTGCCTGAGAAAGCACCTGCCACACGGAAGGACTGAGGAGAGTCTGGGACGTGAGTGAATGAATGAATGAATGAATGAATGGATTGCTCAACCAAGAGGCACTGTGGCAAGGATAGTGTCAAAGTGAGCTGGAGAACTGCAAGCTGGTCTATTAGTAAGCAGCAGTGAGGCCTTGGGAGAGTCCTGTTCCTCCTCTGCAGCTTAGTTTCCTGACCTGTACCATCTGTTTCAGGAGGCAGTAGATTCATAGAAGTAAATATGATTGTGTTCCCATATAACTTCATTACTGGACACTGAATTTGGATTTCATGTTATTTTCATATATCATGAAATATTACTCATTTTTAAAATTTTTTTTCCTGTTATTTATAAACAGAAATGCTGTTCTCAGCTCATGGATCGTATAAAAACGTGGTGAATGGCTTTGATGCATGGACCAAGATCTGCTGATCCCCTGCTCTGAAGACTCTAGAAGAGTCCTATCTAATATAGTAGTGACTTACCAAATGTGGCATCTATATTTAAATTATATTAAAAATTAGTTCATCAAGCTGGGGGTAGTGGTGCATGCCTTTAATCCCAGCACTCAGGAGGCAGAGGCAGGTAGATCTCTGTGAGTTCGAGGCCAACCTGGTCTACATAGCAAGTTCCAGGCCAGCTGGGGCTGTGGGGAAGGAGACCCTGTCTCAAAAAGACTGCGCACACACACACACACAGAGTCTCTCTCACACACTCACACAAATCAGTTCCTCTGGCCCACTAGCTGAGTTTTAAGTGCTCAGTAGCTACATATCTTTAAACAATATTTTAAAATTATTATTATTAATTATTATTATTATTATTATTATTATTTTGGTCTTTTTGAGACAGGGTCTCCCTGTAGCCCCAGCTGTCCTGGATTCACTATGGAGACCAGGCTAGCCTTGAATTCACAGAGATCCCCCTGCCCCTGCCTCCCAAGTGCTGGGAATAAAGGTGTGCGCCACAATGCCCGGCTTTAAAATTATTTTTGACGTCATACATGCATTATACATATTAGTCATATCTACCCCCAAATTCTCCTTCTACTCCCCAGGACCCTCCTAACATATGCCGCTCCCAACTTCATCAACATTTCCTCCTTTTTCTCCTTCGTCCTCTTCTTTTTTAAATAACCTCTAAGTCTAATTAGTTCTGTCTGCATGAGCCTGTAGTAGCCACATTTCTTGTGGCTGTCATACTGGCCAACACCAAAGGTATCCACCAACACCAAACGTTCTACTGGCCAGCTTTGGTTTAGGCAGAATAAACCCTATGGAGTTCCCTCAGGGCAAGTTAGCTCATTAGTGGAGTTAGTAGTCCTGGCTCCTGGCACTATGGCACTATACCAAGTTCCCATTGCTGCTGGGAAATTTAGTGACTTAGACTTGACTGAATTGCCAGGTTTTAAAATAAATGCTTTTTGGATAGTATATTTATATAGTGTAGTCTTTTATTTAAAAACTGAAACCATCTTCAAATAACATTGATTAGATTCAGAATGAAAATATTTATTTTTAAAGATTTATTTTTATTTATGTACATGTGGTATGCATACTACATGTATGCGGTTGCCCATGGAGACCAGAAGAGGGTCTTGGATCCCTAGGAGCTGGAGTTAACAGGGAGTTGTGAGTTGCCCAGCCTGGGTGGAAACCTCTGGGTCTCTGCAAGAATTGGAATTGTTCTAAACTGCTGAACTATCTCTTCAGCCCCAAAGAAAACATTTTTAAGAATTTATATTTAGCCTGTTATTAGGAATAAGCATGCTGTTTCTTTTTCTTCTCTTTTAGAATGAAAAGAAAGTTTTATTCCTGGGAAGAATGCATGAACCTTCAGGAGGTTAAGGTATTTATTACTTTATCAGAAATAATTCCTATGTGGCTGATTAGAATAATTGTATATATAACGAGATTAATAGTTGATGTCATTTCATCTATATTTTTTCACTAATGCTGTGAAAGTAGGAAATGATGTCATATGTCCAGTAGTTGAAAGTGGAAGGTCACTATGTTTTTATTAATGACTATTCTATTGCAAGAAAACTTGGTCATTAATGAATTTCTTTAATCAGTATATTGCAACATAATGTTGAGTCACTGCATTATTATTACTTCTATAGGTGTCTTTTCTAATTGTCAATGCAAAGGACGATCTGGGTTTTTTGTTTCTCTGTGTTTCCAGGCATGGTTTCTCTGTACAGCCCAGATTGGTCTTGAACTCACAGTCCTTTCCAGCTCCTTAGCTTCCCAATTGCTTGGCTTTATGGACACCACCATGCCTGGCAGAAAGAATCACCTTTTTCTTTCCTGTTCCAGTGCTGGTAATCAAATCAGGACCGCATACCTATTCAGTGCCCTACCACAGAGCTACATCCCCAGCCCCATCTCTTTATTTCTGTCACTATGCCCTCTGTCTTTTGTTCTTCTGTTCTGGTCTCTCTTGAGAGACCTCTTGTCTTTCTGCTTCTTGAACTTACCACATACCTTTCTGCCCAGTTCCACTGTGTGTTAGTTTCTACTTCATGCCTCCTCCTGGTTACAGTCTATTCATTCTTCAGATCCGGGTTGAAATATCCCTTCAATAAAGGAGCATTCTCTGATTCCCCAAACTATATTAGGTGCCTTGGAGGCTGGGTCTCATGTTGCTTGATATCTTTCCTTCATGAAACTTGGTGCAGGAAATCACTGGCCAAAGATGGTCTCCATCATTGGTTTGGATGATAATTATCTTCTTTTACCTATCCTGGTAGATTGACCACTTTGGTTTTCCATGTGTAATTCTTGGTGCACTGGAGTGGCTGGTACTCCGTCCATTTAGTCCTTTCACTCAGTACTGTTTGAGACATCCAATAGCATATGAAACCTTTTAGCTCTTTCTGTCTCCTCCAAGGGATTCTTGTAAATGCAGTGGGGCTTCAAGTCTAGAGCAAGAGCCTGCAGACTTTTTCATAAAGGGCCAGGCAGTAATCTTTAAGATTTCATGGACCTAAAGATTATACTGAAAATATTATTTATGTCTATATACATATATATAGACATAAATAATATTTTATATTACTATATATAACAAGTGAAAAAATTTCATAATATTTACCTTATAAAATATAAAAATGATAACTAAATATAATTATTTTGAATTACGAGTCTCTCAGTGAGAAGAATGCCACTCTATTAGGGGAAAGGTCTTAACATTAAACATAATTAGGATTCAAAGTTAGTGTCCCTCTAAGAACTAGAGGATCCAGTTCGGTTCCTGGCACCCACATCAAACAGTTCACAATCACCTGTAAATCCAGCTCCAGAAGATCTGACACCTTCTGATCTCAACAGGCACCCACATACACATACTGCACATAAATATAGTCAGGCCAGCACACATACACATAAATTATTTAAAGTAGTCCCTGTCATCAAAGTGGTTGTGAATACTCATCTGTAGAAATCTATTCTTAGCTCATGAACCATCTAAAGGCATGTGGTGAACTGGATTTCACCCATGGCTCATACAGCATCCCAACCCCTTACTCAGAGAATGAATACTCTGGGAGATCCAAAACATAACATAAAAACCAAAACATTATCCAAGGGGCATTCTTGTGGTGACACGAAGCTTTGAGAGGTATCCTTGGTTTGGATGATAAACCTTTACTTTTTTGCACAACTAACTATACGTTGGCTGTACTGGAAGATCACACATATATTAGACAAACTGGAGGCACATAGCACCTTGGGAAGTGAGTGGCTAGCTCGGCAGTATAGTTAGAGTACCTCTCTGCTAGCCAACGACCACCAGCATTTTCTTCTCCTTCCTTGCCACATTGGCTTCCAGCCAGGACCCTCCCAAGCCACCTGTCTTTGTTGATGCTCACACAAACTCATGAAGAGTGGGCTATAGCCAGCCCCTGAACATTGAGGGAAGGAGAAAAATGGGCGTGTGAGGAAAGCCTCGTCAATCCTTCCTCTTTGCTGAGTAAGGTACTTCTCTGCCTGCTGACGCGGATGACAATGGCAAATGATGGCACCATAAAAGCCTCTGTCACCATCATTTCTGTGTCTTGCTTAATCCCAGTGGTGGAAGGAAATGAGGGAAGTCTTGCACTTCGACACCCATTCTACAACTGTGCCTTCTTCACATCTTTTCTTTGGCATTTCCGTCTGTCTATTGGTCTCTGTGTCTCCTTCTAGAGAGCCTGAGGCCCGGAGGGAAGTTCTGCACCTGATGGCCTGCCACGGGGAGGGCCATCCTTGCTCCTGTGGTATCCCAGGGGAAATGGGACTCCATGGCATTTTTTTTTTTGAAGCATGGTCTTTACAATGGTGCTGTGGCTTTCCAGGCTCCATTCTTCTTGTTAGTCTGTATGTTTGTTTGGTTGGTTGGTTTGGTTTTTCGGTTTGAGACAGAGCCTCCCTGTAGCCCCAGCTGTCCTGGAACTCACTATGTAGACCAGGCTGGCCTTGAACTCACAGAGATCCGCCTGCCTCTGCCTCTTGAGTGCTGGGACTAAAGGCATACACCACTACACCCGGCTTTTTCTCACATGCCATTTACTTTTCAACATGAACAAATCAGGCATCTTTCTCCAAACTCTACCAAAGCTATAAAATTTACTATAATTCAACAGGGATTTGCTCCATCTACTTCTTCAGCTGGAGTCTCAGATAAACCACATTTTCAAAGCCAAACCTGGGTAATTCTCACCCTTTGCTCAGAGTCCGCTCTCCATTCCCACTCCTTACTAAGGATGGGATTCCTTTTCCATGTGCTTGTTTACTTGAAACTTCCTCCAGCTCACATCTCAGATGTTCTCTCTCACCACTCAGTGTTAGCTGACCACTCCTTCTCAAAACATGTCCGATGCTTTGTAATAGTTATCTTTCTCAGTGCCGTGTCAGACTACTTGAAAAAGCAGTTTTATGAAGGATGAATTTATACAGCCCACTATGGTGGCATGAGGGCAAGAGTGTGAGGCAGCTGGTCACACTGCGTCTGCAGCCAGAAAGCAGGGAAAAATGAATGCCTAGGCTCGGCTTACCCTCCTCTCTCCTCTGTTTATTCACATGGAGTCTCGTATGGTCCAAGCTGGCCTCAAATTCATTGTTTAGCCAAGCTGGATACTCCTGCCTCCACTACCCAAGCTCATATATACCACCAAGCTCAGCTTCCTTTTTCCTTTTGTATTCTGTCTGGCACTCTAGTCCATGGCCTAATACCCCCACATTCAGAATGGATCTTCCTTCTACCTCAAACACATGACCGAAGGTGTATTTCCCAAGTGATTCTAAGTGCAATCAAGTTGACAATGAGGATTAACCCTCACTGACTTCTTGTTTCTATCATTTGTTGTTATATGCACTTAAAAATAATGATTTGATTTTATTATTTAAAAACATTTTGTTGCCAGGCGTGGTGGCACATGCCTTTAATGCCAGCACTTGGGAGGCAGAGGCAGGTGGATCCTTGTGAGTTCAAGGCCAGCCTGGTCTACATAGTGAGTTCCAGGACAGCTGGGGCTACAGGGAGACCCTGTCTCAAAAAGACAAAAAAATTTTTTTAATTTATTTTTAATTGTTTCTGTATGTGTGTGTGTGTGTGTGTGTGTGTGTGTGTGTGTGTGTGTGTGTGTCTACATGAATACAAGTGCCCACAGAAGTCAGAGGCATCGGATCCCCCACGAGCTGGAGTTATAGGTGGTTGTGAGCCACCTGACATGATTGCTAGGGATTCAACCTGGATCCTTTGGAAGAGCAGTACAAGCTCTTAACCACTGAGCAGTCTCTCTAGACCTATTTTATTTTATTTTTATTTTTATGTTGTGTGTATGAGTATATTGCCTACATGTATGATGTAAGTGCATCCATATTGTGCAATGCCCGTGGAGAGCAGGAGAGTTGTTACTGGATTTGGAACTGGGAGTGTAGACAGTTGTTAGCTGCCACGTGAGTGCTGGGAATCAAACCTGGGTCCTCTATAAGAACAGTCAGTGCTTTTGACCACTGAGCCCTCTTTCCAGCCCCCTTATTTTATTTTTGAGACAAGGTCTCACTGTGAGGCCTTGACTGTCCTGAATCTGCCTGCCTCTGCCTCTCAAATACTGGGATTAAAGGGGAGCCCCACCACACCTGTTACATTACATGCCTTTTTTTTCCTTAGTTTTTGAAACTTTGTCACTCTGTAGCACTGGCTACCTGGAACTCACTCTGTAGACCATGCTAGCCTTCAAATCACAGAGCCCTGCCTTTATCTGCCTCCCAAATTCAGGGATTAAAGGCATGGCCACCACACCCAGATGTTACATGCATTTTAACATTCTCATCTTGTACTCTCAGTTAGGCTGTTAGGCTCAGTTAGGCCTCTGGAAAGCAGACACTGTGTCTTAGGCCAAGTGTGTCCTTGGGACATGGTACATTGTAATTTAATAAAATGGGAAAGTGTTGGTGAGTCCCAGAGGGCCCAGAGTTGATACTATCCTATGAAATCTTGGTCCATGGAGTGTATCCCAACAGGGACTGTTGACTAGTTTTGATTTGCTGCTTATGTTTATTAACTCTGACACAAGTGATTTGTCTCTACTTCTTTGGAAACTTTTCCATAGCCGCATAAGATGTTTCCTTCTAGAAATACACCTTTGTAAAGTGAGCCTCATGAAGTTCTTCAAGCAAAATTAATTCTTTACATATTAGACTAACACAATTTTTAAAAAATGTGTATGAGTGTATTGCCCGCATGTATATAATTGTATCCATGTCATGCAGTGCCCAAGGAGGTCAGAAGAAGGTGTCAAATCCCCTGGAACTGGAGTTACAGACAGTTGTTAACTGCCACGTGGATGCTGGGAATCAAACCCAGGTCCTCTGTAAAAGCAGTCAGTGCTTGTAACTGCTGAGCCATCGCTCCAGCCTCACAAAAATTTTAATATATATTTTTATGCATTTCATACAGTACATCTTGATTATATTTAGAACCCTCCACATCCTCCATAGTCCCACTTTCATTAGATTTCATGCTTTCTGTCCTAAATGTTAAGCCCTATCAGGTCAAGTTTGTATCCTGATATGTCTCTCAGTATGAGTTCATCCACTGGAGCCTGGTCAGCCTATCTAGTGTCATTCCCTTAAGACCAGCTCTTCCTTACCCAACATTGGTTAGCTCTTCCTCAGCCCAGGTTGGGGCCTCCTGCCCATTTCCCCATTTCTATGCTGGGTTTTTGTCTGATTGAGTTTGCATGAGTCTTCTGCATGCTGTCATCATTGCTGTAAGTTCAAATGAGCAAGTTCCCAGAAGCCTGGAAAACTCTGTTTCCTTGGGGTTATCTACCAGCCCTGGCTCTTACTATCTTTCTGCTTCCTCTTCTGCAATGGTCCCTGAGCCCTAGGTGGCTGAGGTTTAATATAGGAGTGCTATCCAGAGACACGAACTCTTCAGTCTCTTAACCTCTACACTTTGCCCAGTTGTGCCCTTCTGTATTAATCGCCCTCTGTGGCATGAGGAAGCTTCACTTGTGAGACCTGAAAGATGCAGTAAGTAGTATTCTCTCTACCTCCTGTTCCACAATGTTCCACGAGCCTTAGGTGTAGAGGCTCAATTTGTAGATGTGTCACATACGAATGGGCATTCTCACAGACACTAATTCTCTGCTAGCACAAAGTTTAACTTGCTCATTAACCTTGCTGAGATGTGGGTGCTGCAAGCCACTCTCAGACTTGGGCTCAAAACAGACCACAGGCTTGGTGCTGAACTATTGTCCTCCTTGCCTAGAATTAGCTTCTAGAAAGGCTGTAATACTGACTTCGTTTTTCCTGAATGAATTTTCCCTCAAGCGATTTATCAAGGGATGCTTGTGATGTGCTTTAAGCAAACCAGGCGGGAAGACGGCCGGTTAGCAGCGACCATTGAGCCAGAAATCCAACCCAAGCAAAATCAGCCTGGCTGAGTCATTCTACAAGGTTCTAGTCAAACTGCTAAGGATTTATGCCAGAAAAAAATACCTTTTGTCCTTTGGGAAGAAGTTTCCAGATGTCTTATTTGGCTTTTACCCACTGGTCATGGTTCCTCTCCCTTCTGAGCTACACAGTTCCAGGCCTTTGGGTACCTGAGTGTCCTTCCAGATTTGGATGTTCATTTTGGCACTTTCTTTCTGCAGACACTTTATTGTTTTATAAAAAGGATGTTCGTTTTTGGTTTTTTTTTTTTTGTCTTTTTGAGACAGGGTCACCTTGTAGCCCTATCTGTCCTGGCACTCACTATGTAACCAGGCTGGCCTTGAACTCACAAAGATTCGCCTGCGTCTGCCTCCCAAGTGCTGGGATTAAAGGCGTGCACCACCACCCCCCAGCCCAAAAAGGATGCTCTTTTAATGAAATTCAAAGATTAAAAAGACTATCGTTGTCGGGCATGGAGGCACATGCCTTTAATCCCAGCACTCGGGAGGCAGAGTCAGGCGGATCCTCTGTGAGTTTGAGGCTAGCCTGGTCTTCAGAGTTCCAGGCAGCTGGAACTACAGGAAGACCATGTCTCAAAAAGGCCAAAAAAAAAGAAAAGAAAAGAAAAGAAAAGAAAAGAAAAAAAATACTATCATTCATTATTATTAAACTCATTGCTCTCTGGGAGAAAGGCTTTTTAAACTATCCAGGTTAATTTTACTTGCCATGGTGACCCTTGGAAGCTTACTTGAAGGAGACTGTCAAATTTTGGTCATCCAGCAGGACTCCAATATATGGGTGTCTTTGGATGCTGTACACAAATAGAGTTGCTGTTTGCTAATAGAACAGCATTCACTATTGACGGGATGAGGCATACAGAAAACCATGTGCACATAGCTGTACTCACAAAACTGCATGTGGAAGATGAGTACTGGTAAAATGATGTTCTATCTTCTGAGCAACACTCTTGTACCTAATCCACCTGACTTCTACAACTTTGTTGCTCTTAGGAGCAGGGAAATTTCTCTAGTTACTTCAATTGAGGTCTTTCCAACAAGGTGTTTTCATTCCTCCCAAATAATTAAAACTCGTGTTCTAAGAAGGAGCGTTTTATGTGTCAGTCACACAAGTCTGATGAAAGTCAAGAGAATTGCCCAGGCGTGGTGGTGCACGCCTGTAGTCCCAGCACTTGGGAGGCAGAGGCAGGCAGATGTCTGTGAGTTTAAGGCCCAGCCTGGTCTACATAGTGAGTTCCAGGACAGCTGGGGCTACAGGGAGACCCTGCTTCAAAAAGACCAAAAAAAAAAGTCAAGAGAATCAAGCTATCAGCCTTGGTCCATTCAAGAAATTTCCTTTTGAAGGTGCCTGTGGGCTGCTAGCTGGTAATCTCAAATTTAAGCAGCTGCTTCTCTGGTGCTAGAAAATTCAAAGCTACAACTTCCTTTATTGATTCCCTTCTGACCACTTTCATAACCTGAATTCCATGATCTAGAGAGAGTGAACTTAAAATAGCTTGGGCTTATTGCCACAAAAATAGTCCTGTTGCCCTGTGCTGGGAACACCCAGAAATACTAGCTAATGGGCAAATACTGCTTACCTTCTAGTCAATTCATCAAAGTAGTTTTTCAAGGTAAAGTCACTATTTTCAGAGAAATACTGTTTATCAAGTTGTCAGTAAAATATAACTTATGGCATATCCTTGATTCTAAAATTAGGCATTTCTTCCTAGTGTGCTACGGTTACTTTCTTTTTTCAACAGATTATTTTTCCTAATTTTGTTTTGTTTTCCTTCTCACTTTTCAGTCTTTAAAGAAGCTCAACCATGCCAATGTAGTAAAATTAAAAGAAGTCATCAGGGAAAATGATAATCTTTATTTTATCTTTGAGTACATGAAGGAAAACCTGTACCAGCTCATTAAGGAAAGGTATGGTCTGGTCATAACATTCTTTTTATTTTTCAGTTGTTTTTCAGGTTTATTTTTATTTTTAATTATGCGTGTCCGTGTGTTTCTTTGTGTGGGTATGCACACGTGTGTGGGTGCCCTTGGAGGCCAGAGGCGCTGGATTCACCTGGAGCTCGATCTACAGGCATTTGTAAACCACCCATGTGCATGCTGGGAACTTCTATAGGAGTAGTACATGTTCTTAACCCCTGAGCCCCATGGTCATGCCATTCTTGTGCATTAACATTCCAAAGTAGGTATGTTTCTTGCTTTGTTTATTCCAGTTCTAGTTTCTTCTCTAGTTATTCAGTGTTCATGCTTCCGTATTCTGATGATGAAACCTAGGTGAGAGGCCCAACCACACTCCCATGCTCTAGGACCCTGGGATAACTTCAGGGAAGAAGTTTCTTTCATTCATTTTGTTTTTCTGAGAAAGGGTCTCATGCTATAGCCTATGCTGGCTCTGTAGCCTAGGCTGGCCTCAAATTTGCTGGGTAGTTGAGACTTGTTTGGAACTCAAAAATCTTTCTGTATTTACTTCCCGAATCCTGGGATTACAGGTATGTGCCACCATAGCTAACTTATTTTTGGATATTTGTCTGCTATGTAGGGGAATTTCTTTTTTAATTATAAAAATGTTTAGTCTTTTCTTTATAATGTAATTGAATGTACTTTGTATTTATTAGTTAATTCCTCTCTATGGACAGATGATTATATTTCTTTGGTATTTACAAAAGAATTTGGTTAATTTTTTTTTTACTCAGAATAACACAAACACAAGAGATTTTGATATCTGAACTTGGATTTATAACTTTGTTTTCTTCTGGCCCATACAGAAATAAGTTGTTTCCTGAGTCTTCTATGAGGAATATAATGTATCAGATATTACAAGGACTTGCATTTATTCACAAACACGTTAGGTAATTTGGAATATAGTGCTTTTGGATAGCAGTGAAATATCATCAGGTAGCTGGTGTAGGAAGTACTGATGTGTTCTGTAACTAACTCCAGACAATACTGTAGTGTGACAAACTGACTGACAGTGGTCTCTTTGGACCTTGATTTCTAAAATTTCCTTATTTACCTGTGTATGTGTTCATGCTTTAAGCTTTAGCATTAAGCTACAGATAGAGCTCAGAATATTTCTCACCATTGGCTGATGTATTTATAAACAACCTAAGATCAGAATTTTGAGGTATTTCACGTGTTATGTCTAATCCACTAACTAGTATCCCTCCACTGTGCCTCTCATTTTTCTAAGTCATTTATGCTTCAGTTTTTTTCAAGGAGGTTAATAGCAGCCTAAAAATTTATGTAGCATAGAAACATAAATTAAAACTTAGCAATACTAAAAAAAAGAGACAAAGGCAAACCAAGGTATGGGTATAGCCAGGAGTTATGTAAAGTTAATTCTTTTCTTTCCTTTTTTTTGTTTTTAAGGGAGAAAGGGTTTATTTTGGCTTACAGTTTAAGAAGGCATAAAAAACATGATGTCAAGAGTGTGAGGCAGCTGGTCACACTGTGTCCTAATTCTTAGATGCATTCTAACAAATTTTATTTCAGAAGAAGCAACAGATTTGTTTCTGAGTCTGTTGTCGTACCAAGGAAATGTGACATGACCAGTTAGAGCCTATGTAGTTTCCTTGAGATAAGAATAGACTAGTTGGGGCTGGAGAGATGGCTCAGCGAATGAGAGCACTTGCTGCTCTTGCAGAGGACCCGGGTTCAATTCCCAGCACCCACATGTCAGCCAACAACTGTCCGTAACTTCAGTTCTAGGGAATCTGATGCCCTCTTCTGACCTCTGCAAGCATTGCATGACACAGGTGCATTTGCACACATGCAGGAAATACACTCATACATGTAAGATAAAAATAATAAATAATTTTTTTGGTCTTTTTGAAACAAGGTCTCCCTGCAGCCCCACCTGGCCTGGAACTCACTATGTAGAGCAGACTGGCCTTGACCTCACAGAGGTCTGCCTTCCTCTGCCTCCTGAGTGCTGGGATTAAAGGTGTGTGCCACCACCCCTGGCATAAATAAAATATTTTTTAAAAAATAGACTAGCTTCCCCAGAAAAACAGAACCATTCCTTTTTTATTATATTAAGGCCTTCGTTTATTTACATTTGTTTGTGTGTGTGTTTAGAGTGGACGTGTGTGTGCTACAGCACATGGAGATCTCCAGGATAACCTGTGGGGGTCCGTTTTCTCCCTCCACCTTTATGTAGGTTTCAGGGATTGAGCTCGGGTTGTTATGCCTGGTGACAAGTGCCTTTGCCCACTGAGCCATCTCACTGGGCCCAGAACTGTTCTTGATGCCAAGACCAGAGAGACACTTTTCTCAAGGGCCCTTTGGAAGGAACAGTGTGTCAATGAGTTTATCATAAACATGGTGGCAGGCTGCATAGGCCAGTTTCATGTGATATCCTTCACTGTAGGTCAGTTATGTTGTCTGATCAGAGAAAGCAGTTCTACTCACTCCAGACATGATCTGAGTAGTCCACAGAAGGATTTAGAATATCCAAAGGGAAACAAAGCCGCCTGCCCTTCAGGAAACTCCATTTCTGTCTCTCCTTTTAACTGAGCTCCTGAAAAGTTGAATAGCAATAAGGATGAGGCTCTGCCCTCCAGAAGTTGTCTGGAGCTTTGCTGGTCTTCGTTTCATTCTGCTTGTAGGGTACAGACCAGATAAGGCTGGATTGATAACCTTCCCATGAGTACCTAGCTAACAGATGTAGGTGAAGTCAGAAGTTCTCTGAGAAGGTCATTTGAGGTCATTTTAACATATAGAGGAACAAAATGGCTGCTTATGTCCATACCTGCCACTCAGTCTGTGGATGTTGTTGCCGTTTTAAATATTTTACTAACAAATGGATTCATTACTCAGTAAGGAGATGGGTTGAAACCTGTTAGCAGTTCCCAGATGTCTTGTAAATGGTCAGTGAGTAGTAAAGTCTTGTGTTGCCCAAGGTGGCATGTTATACCCAGGGTCAGTCCCTGCTTGCTCTTCACCTCTAAGTAGTCTCTCACAGAAACCAAAGAAAACATACATAGACTATCTTTGCAAGTCCTTGGCAGCCTTCTGCATTAGCTGTGTAATCAATCATCTGGGCAAGGATGTCAACTTGATAAAGAAGCTTAGTAAAAAACTTCCAGGATAAGTTATCTCTGATCCTTTGCCCTTGGGGGACTAACCCTTTAGCCTTATTCACAAGAATTCCCAAGGATGGTTTGAATTAATTAGTGTCTTAGGGACAACTAGGAGCCAGCACTGAAAAGCTCAAGGAAAAGGGGAAAGCAAAGGAATTTTCAACCAGCATGTTTTCAAAGAGGAAGCAATAATAGAGATTTAGTAATTCAGGCTGGTGCTCGATATTGGAACCTGAATGAACCTCAAAGAAAGAAAGGAGGGAAGAAAAGAAAGGAGGGAGAGAGGAAGGAGGGAGAGAGGAAGGCGGAGAGAGGAAGGAGGGAGGGAGGGAGGGAAGTGGAAAATATCTTTTGGCTTTCTCTTCCTTTTTAACTATTTTTCATCAGACTCAGATACTTGTTGCTAGGAAGAACTTGCAACATTTCTTCTGAGATTCTGTAATGATGTGTTTATACATACACAGACATAGACCACACCTGTGCACTTCCATACATGTGCATGGTAAAGCAAAGCAAGGTACGTAGCCATCCACATATACACATGCCCATGTGTTTCATGCCTGTACAGCCAGCCACTTATCACCCGCACATGTAAAAAACTGCAGGCGTATGTCCACACACAAATGTTTTAGGCAACAGTTTAGCACCCCTGAACATTCCCTTGGAACTCTGCACTGTTTATTCTCTTTCGTGCCTTAGACATTCAGTGTGTGTGTGCACATAGTGCACAGGAAGATTGAGTTGTGGAGAAAGCCAGGCTTTTAGAACCTCATCGCTGCTATCACCAGAGGTGGCTGATGCCACTTTTCTTCAACAGTTACATGCCCAGTTCTAACTTGAGATAACTTTTCCATTTACTTGCCAACGTCACAGGTAGGAAGAACCAATAGTATATATTCCTTTAAAAGGAGACTGAGGCTGAGAGAGATTGAAACTCTGCCAGAAGCCCCACTGCAACAGTAAGGGGGGGATCTGTGGGGACAGTCTGTGCTCATGTACCACTTGTCTAGGAAAACTTGTCCTCAAAGAGAGCAAGGGAATCTGAGAGAGAGAAAAAATAGTGATGATTGTAAGGATGGACACTAAATTCACAGATCCTGTCTCATCATCTTTGATAAATGATTCTTTAAAACTTACAGGGTTTGGTGACAGCAAGATGGCTCAGGCACTAGCCGCCAAGCCTGACAGACTTTGAATATCTTAGGTTAGGAGAGAGCTGACTCCTGCAAGTTGTCCTCTAATCTCTACATGCCTGCCCTGGTAATGCTCACAGACGCAGTAATCTCTACCCCTGGTAATGCTCACAGACGCAGAAGCACAATAAATACATTTAATAAAATTTTGATACACAGGGTTTGTATGGCAGTGACGTGACTTTGACTAAGGTCACATGTACCTCTCTATATTACTTATTACTTGCAATAATAGAAAAACTATTGCGTGCACTTTGAGGAGTTGTCTTGTGAGTTTCAGCTCTTCACCATAGCTCTCTCTACTGTGAGAAGGTACAGCCTGCCCTGGAGGATAGACTCCTTTGAGACCAAAGAACAGCACGGCAGGTAGTTGCTATGGCCGTGCTCCTGTCACTGAGTCTTTTCCCCCCAGAGGGAAAGAACAATGCCAGAGCTCACGTACCTGCCGGAATTTAGTGTAAATTGCATGGGTCATCTTTTACCCGCCCTTACAAACATCCAGGGTACACTTACCTATGAAAGTACTAGAAAGGCACTCAATGGTTTGGAGGGCAGCATTTTGCCCCAAAGGTAGCTCTCTGCTTCTGAGTTTGACAACCGTCTGGAAGTGCATGATCTTGAGACAGTTCTTCGGCTGTTTGTGTGTGGCTGTTGCCATGGCCTACTTTTTATCTTGACATAAACACTGTAGGTTTAAATTCAAGGAAGAGAGGAAATGAGGGAAAGGAGAAGGGAAGGATGGAGAGAGAGAATTGTCTGAAACTACTTCTACATCAGGAAGATGTGCCGCATAAATTCATAATGCTTATTCTTGGGTCATTTCCATTTATTTATATCAAATTTATCAATAATAGAATGTGGCATAGGGGAAAAAAATCTGCCTTGAGGCTTGAAGTTTTCCTTTCTTCCTTGAAGTTATTAATGAAAAATAAGCACCATACTTTTTCTGTCAGAATGAAAAAGAAAATTCCCCTATTATTCAGCAGATGGGAAGTGCCTTGAACTTAAATTAAGGGCCTGTTTCTGTCTTCTGAAAGCCATTTTAAACAGGAAGTTTGTCACTGTAGCATCATACTGTTGTTGAATGCTCTCTAGATGGCCCAACTATGAGGATTTCCATTGTCAGTCAGGAGCCCAAAGGGAGGAGAGGGCTCATTGTTACAGCCACACCGCACATAGCAGCAGAGCACAGACCCAGCCAGGAATCAGATGAAGGCTCTGACGCCACCATCTCCTCACAGATGGTGCCTGTCAGTAGCCCCACAAGCCTTAATTCTAGTCCTCAAAAAATGGCTCCTTAACTGTCTGCCCAAGTTGACAGGTTTAGGGGAGAATAAAGGAGAGAACTTTCTAGTAGTCGTTTTAATACTGACTAGCTCTTTCAGGGTGCTGGTGTGCCAGCATTGCTGTCTTACAGCTTTACAGGTCGAGTGTGCTTCATTCTGCAAAAGAAGCCCATGAGGTAGAAGCTATTGTTTCTGTTTTACAGATGAGGAAGCTGAGGCACCGAAGGGTTAAATGACTTTTCAGCCAGTGAGTAACAGAATTGAGATTTGAAATCAGGCATCCTTGCTGGTCTACACACTCATCTCCTAAGCTGCATTGCCTCATGTATAGAAATAGTAATGTTTGACTAAAACAGATCAAGTATGAAAGGGAATTGAAATCTTTCTTCCCCTATATGATTAGTGTATATTCTCCCTGTGATTAAAGAGGACTAAGTAGTTGGGGAAAGGATAGGGCTTGGCTGTTGGGGAAGTGTGGTTGGTGCTTCATGCATGACTCATGGTGGATGCAGAGAACAGATTTGGAGGGTATGAGTGATGTTTGTATGTGAGAACAAGTCAATTTGATAGGATGAACTGAATGGGAGGATGGGAATTGGTGTGGGTGTTACAGATGCTGCCAGAGGGCGCTGCTGTGGGTGGAGGATCCTTGAGGACATAGGAATCAGTATAAGAGAAATGCCACCTACATTTGTAAATAATAATGCCCCCATTAGAAGAAGGAAGAGGAGTCTTAGGAGAGTCGACGGTAATCTGGACTTGACAGGACTAAAGCCACAAATCAGGATTTGGTAATAGAGCCAAGAGGGAGAGGGTGGTGCATGACATTCTGAGACAATTGGTAGAATTGTGAATAGTTTGTTACCTCCTGCTCAGGACTCAGTTTCCCGTCTGTTCAGTCAGAAAATGATGCCTGCCATTTCTTCCTTCATTGGCATTTTCAGTGTTCTGAAAGCAGGGCCTCATCATTCTTATTTTTTCAAGGATCCTGGGAATCATCTTAGGACCATTAACTCTTAGTAATTGCCTAGGTTTTGATGCACTCCTAAGCCATGTCTAAGGTAGGTGTGCGCAGGCAGGCCTGGGAAATGGCAGGTGTTCTCAAGAATAGAGGTCCCAATACGGTGACTCAATTACACTAGGTCTTAGAATAGACATCGCTCACTCTGGTGGGTGGATAATCTGTTTCATTGGGCTAATAATAAACCCTCTGAATTTGTTCATATCAGACTTTTTAATTTTAAAAGCCATTCTTGACTAATATTGAATTACTCTGCATTTCTTGTGCTGACAACCTTAAGTTTGGTTCTTATTATAATTTATGTATGGTTTTCCACAAATTTGAGTAAGGATTCTTGAAGAAATTGGTCTATGGAAAGCCACTAGTACAGTGGCAGAATAAATATGGAGCAATGAGATGTGTTTTTATGTGTATTTCCACAGTATACATATGCATATGGACAGCATGCATATATGTATAACATGCATATGTGTATGCTTACAAATACACATATGCATATACTGTAAGATAGCCAATTTGATGTGCCTATGTCTTGTCTAATCCAGACGTGACTCTGACTTCCTCAGTTCCTTGAGATATGCAAAACAAATAGCCCTGTGTTGTGAAGGAAGTACTTCTTCCTCTCATTTGTCGCCTACGGTCTCACATGTGCACGGGGTCCCAGGCTCTGTAATCATATTCCCTCTCCAGCTAAGGCAGCCCTTTGCCCTGCAGATCCATCATTATGCTATACAATTATGCATTTGGAGCTTGGCCTGGTGCTAAGCCCTGTTGTCTTCAGAATACTAATCAGAGAAGAGTGTCCTTTTATTAAACATTACCATTTTCCATCATACATGGCATGTAATGAATTTTCACATGCAAACACATCACAGTCACCTTTCTGTAGAGCAGAGATGGTCTTTGGAAAAGGGCCTTGGCTAGCTGATTGAGTCCTATGGGAGTGCCGTCTGTGATGCAGACATCCCACAATGAGCCCTCATTGCCCCACACTACTTCAGAGCCATTGCACTTTTCCCTCAGTTCTCTGTCGGTCTTTGGGTACTTACTCTCTTTCACTGTCCCCACAGATCTGCTCTGCTCCCTTGACCCTGCCTATTTGACCCAGGTAGATTCAACACTGTTAAGTACTTTCACGCTTCCTACAAACATATCGAGTTCCCTCTATTCAGTCAACAAGCCTGTGTCTTGAGATCATCATATCTTTGCCTGCTGTGAGGCATTCAAAGGAAATGTAAAAGGTCTCTGCTGTTAAAGTGCTTCCCTCTAATTAGTGAAAAATGTGATCATATCTATAAATGATAGAACTCTACACAAGTTCAGGGGAAGGGCTGTTATGTCTGTAAGGGCAAGGGTCAAGAACCATGGCCATTCAAGTTGTTCCAAATCCATACAACCCAAACCATCGCCTGGCATGGCCTCTGAATATTTCTTGGCAGAATAAGAGAATGAAAAAGAGCAATCACATGAAATGGTTTCTCAGACAACAAGCAACTCAAAGTAAGTCTTGGGGGTGGTAAAGATTGGGATCAGTGCAGATAAAAGGGGCCATATTAAGACACTGCTGATAGGAATAAATACAGTAAACTTAAAGGTGATGAGTGATTTCACCTGAGTGGAGTGTGCCCTACACAACTGATGATAGGAGTTGGAGAATATAGTTTTCAGTAGTGGTGATTGAACCTCGGGGCCTTGTGCATGCTAGTCATGTCCTTCCCGCTGAACCATCTCCCCAGCTGGAAAATATTACCTCTTTAGGTGGATTAAAGGATATCAGCTTTGTTAAACAGTTTAAAGAGGTGTGTGTGTGTGTGTGTGTGTGTGTGTGTGTGTGTGTGTGCGTGTGTGTATGTTTGTGGAGCAAGAGTATTTAAATTAGTAGAATGTGTCCAGAGAAGCTGAAGCAGGCAGGCTGTGAGAACGTGGTAGTACAGCCAGGTAGTAAGAGCAGCTTGGAAGGCAGTGATAGGTGAAAAGTAGCCGTCAGGACTATCTGAACCTTAACAGGCAGGTGAAAGGGAGGAAGGCCAGGACAGTCCCATCACTGTCAGGGAAAGGATGGATACAACTCCACCACAGAGTACTTGATAATATTATTAAAAGTGTGAGGAGAGAGAATCTGCAAAGGTAATTTGAGACAAGCTGGCACAGGAATGAAGGTGGCATCCAGTCATGATCCTGGTAACATGGATGCTGACAGCCCAGTGGTTGTCAAGGAATAGTGTAGGTCTTCAGTGATGCGATTAACTTCTTCTATAGTGTACTAATTAGAACGCAGTTTTCTCACCATTGATAATGACAGCATCTCACTAATCACTAATCCATCAGCAACACCAACTAAGTTCTATTTCCTGTTTGGGTGTCCAGTGAGATTTAGAGTCACACTGAGTGATGCCCTTGTGCTACTCAGGAACCAGACAGTTTTGGGCTTTCTGAGGCATCTGTATTGCCAATCACAGGGTGTCTGAGTGCCCCTGGAAGAATCATGCGCTGAGCATCTCCTTGATGCATCTGCAGAGCACTGCTGGAATCGAGATGTCTCATCTGATGAGCTGTCTTTGCTTTTCACAGTGTGAGCTATGTATTAGGCAAAGTACTAAGTACTGAACTTTCAAACATGTGTCACAACACGTACCAGAATCAAGCCAGATGTGGTGGTGCACACCTTTAGTCCCAGCACTTGGGAGGCAGGTGCAGGGGGATCTTTGTGAGTTCAAGGCTAGTCTGGTCTACATAGCATGTTCCAGGCCAGCTGGGGCTACAGGGAGACCCTGTCTCAAGAAGACAACACATATCAGAATCTCAGGTGTGAGTAGACCATATCCATCAAAACTTTGTCTCCTAAAAAAGTTATGATTTTTCCCCCTGTGGTATAAATTTAGTACCTATAAATTGATTGACTTTTGAAGAAGTTTTAGTCTCATCTTTCTGACTTGAGTAATGATATTTCTCCCCCTGAAGTAGTTTGGTTTGCACAGTTATCTCAGCCAAAGAGCTTAGGTAATGATATTTTTCCCCCTGAGGTAGTTTGGTTTTCACAGTTTTCTCAGCCAAAGAGCTTCAATATCTTTGAAGAGTTCTTGGTCTTTTTGAGGCATGATTTCCTATAAATGAAAGGTATGGAGTTGAACTTTGGAATGATTTTGTGAACGAAAATGACTGAAGGCCTGAGAGAGGTCTGAGAGGCTATGCATTGTCCATGGGGGATTGCAGTCTGGTGTTGTACCTGGCAGGGTTTTAGGTTAGAGATGCCGTGAAAAGAGCAGAGCTGGTGCAGGGAGCACTAAAGTAGGACGCATGCCTTCAGATCCGTTCACAGTCTCTGCAGGCTTCTTCCACTGGGACTTAAAGCCTGAGAACCTCCTCTGCATGGGACCAGAACTTATGAAGATTGCAGACTTTGGGTTGGCCCAAGAAATCCAATCAAGACCTCCATACACAGACTATGTATCTACTAGATGGTGAATACTGTTTCTCTCAGAATTATTAAATTGCACTTCTTTAAGAAGATACCACTTTGCTGAGGACAGTATCAGTCATAAGCATTAATTTCTCACTAGTCTCAATGCTGTAGGTATATTGTTACTGAATGAGGATATAAGCTTGTGTTATAAACCATCTTAAAAAAGGAACTCCCCATGCTTCTCCACAGTAGAAGTAATTTTTATTTGAAAGCCTTCCTGGGGACAGTTTCTCCCCATCCCGCTTCCCTGCTCCATCTCTTTTCCCCTCCCAATTCCTTCCACTGTGTCACTGTTTTTCTGAACATGCTGGAGAGAACACTCCTGTGGCTGGAGAGGTGGCTCTGTGGTTAAGAGCACTGGCTCTTCTTGTAGAGGCCCTGAGTTTAGTTCCTAGTATCCACATAGCAGCTAACAACCACCTGTAACTCCAGCCCCAAAGGATCAAACACCTCTAGCCTCTAAGGGCTCAGAGGCATGTACCCACACAGACACACACGTAATTTTATTTTATTTTTTATATTAATTTTGATTGATTGATTGACTAATTGACTCATTGATTGATTTTGGTCTTTTTGAGACAGGGTCTCCTTGTAGCCCCAGCTGACCTGGAAATCTCTATGTAGACCAAACTGGCCTTGAACTCACAGAGATTCACCTGCCTCTGCCTCTCAAGTGCTGGAATTAAAGGCATGTGCCACCACACCCAGTTCATACATGTAATTTTAAAAAGAAGACTACAACTCCTCTGGGCAAATGCTCAGTAGAAAACTCTGGGGAGTACAGTCTATCTTTTTAAACTGTGGGTTGCAACAGAGGATCAAACACCTAAACGGGGCCAAGTAACTGAATGTGGGGTTTTTCACTGTGGCACTGTGAAAGGCAGAAAATGCACACAACTAATGAACCAACTACATAAGTCTGAGGTATTTCTGGCAGTGACCCTGTGTTAAATTGCACGACTTCACGGCGGCTTTGGTTCTGAACACACATCATGTGCACCTGGCACTGTGCATGCGCTCATGCCACACACCACCCGAAACAGCTCGGCTCAGGTTCAGAACTATTTCATGTTATGAAATGTAGCATATTTATATGTGAATTTTTTGCTCTTGCAGAAACATGCTGGTTTGATTGTGGAAAACAAAGACTTTTTCATGTTCCTACCATCATTCTTCAGCAAATTAGCATCAAAATACTATTTGTTTGGATTGTAGTTTGTTAGAATGTTTGACTTTAAAAATTGGCATTTGATTTACTGACTTGAATTTCATTGAAAAGATCACTAGGGGAGCTGGAGAGATGGCTCAGCGGTTAAGAACACTGGTTGTTCTTGCACCTAACAACTGTCCGTAACTCCAGTCCCAGGGTATCCAACAGCTTCTTCTGACCTCCGCAGGCATTGCACGACACCGGTGGCAGCTCTGGTTACAATCAAACCCTCCCCTCCTAAAAGTATTCATTCACTGCCTGGCTCCCTCCCACTCACTTATTCCTTCCCCTCTTTATTCCTGTGCCCTGCCTACCTGCATACCCTGGCATGTTCCCATCTCTGCAGAGTGCCCGAGTGAATATCTTTTCAGTGACCAGATCCCTTTGTCCATAATTCCAGTTCTAGGGGATCCAGTGCTCTCTTCTGGCTTCCATGGGCATTGAACACACATGTTGTAGGCAAAACACTCATGCATAAAATACAAATAAATTAAAAAATGTTTTAAATTAAAATAATCACTAGATGGGGCTGGCTGTGTGGCTCAGTGAGCAGAGTACTATCTGTACACCACTTTACCTCTATACCTCAATACATGTATGTCTGAAGATGTATAAAAATTTTTCAAGTGAAAAGGTGTCACAGTGGAGAAGTTTAAGAAGCTCTGGAATAGATCACTACCTTCTCTCTCTTTTCTTTTCTCATATATATGTGTGGTTGGGGAGATGGGGAGGGGGCACGTACACGTGCACAGGAGTGTGTGGGTGTGCACATCCACAGGGAGACCATTGAGTGTCTTCATCACGTATTCCCTTGGAATAGGATCTTTCACTGATCTAGAACCTCACTCTTTTGGCTAGGCTGGTGACCAGTCAGCTCATGGAATCCACCTGTCTCTGCTCCCTAAGACTGGAGTGATGAGCATGTCGGCTTTTTTCTGGGTGCTGGGAATTCCATCTCAGGTCCTCATGCTTGCACAGCAGGTGCTCTTACCCATTGAGCCATCTCCCCAACCCTAACACCACTAACAATTAAACACCACCAATATTATTGGCCATAATAGTTGCCAAGTCCTTACATGTTCTTGTACCACATTAGATTAGAGGAAAAAACAAATCCATAAGGTTTCACTGAGAATTGCTTGTTATGAACTTAATTTCTGACCAGTGGAAGTGATAGCTAGCCATGAACTCTGTCTTTCCAGGTATAGGGCTCCAGAAGTGCTCCTGAGATCCACCAACTACAGTTCCCCCATTGATGTCTGGGCTGTGGGCTGCATCATGGCAGAGGTGTACACCCTCCGGCCGCTCTTCCCTGGGGCCAGTGAGATTGACACAATTTTCAAAATTTGCCAAGTGTTGGGAACACCAAAAAAGGTAATGACATGAAGCAAAGGCCCATGGACCACAGCCAGTAGCTGCTTGTGCCACCTCTCCCCAGTGCTAACAGCCATGGCATTGGCTTGTTCTAGAGTCTTTCACTTGACCTTGGCCGTTCTCCACTGCCACGTTCTCTGGCAAGGATTGTTTTTCTCCCTTTGCTCTTAAGCATGATATCTGGCTCCCTCTAACTCTCTCTCAGTACCATCTCACCCTTTACTGAGCTTCTCCATTCTTACAGCCACAGTTACATGCACTTCTCATGCAGTCTGCACTCCCCTCTCCCCCACCTTTATAACTCTGTCACAAATGTTTTAGGGATTTCCCTGACTCCATCACCTCAAACTTAACTCATCCGAATCACAAGGCTTTTTGTTTACGGGTTCTTTCTGCCTGTCC